GCTGCTGCTGCTGCTGCTGCTGCTGCTGCTGCTGCTGCTGCTGCTGCTGCTGCTTGGCTTGCGATCTCTAAACAAATGCAGGGACAAACAAACAAATTCCCTCAACTCCTTAATCTACAAAAACTCTTCTTTTCTCCAGCTAGCTAGCTATAGGGTAGCTAGCTAGCTATGGGGTAGTTGGCTAGCTAGCCAGCTAGCTATAGGAACCTGCCGTAGGCGTTGGAGCTGCGAGCAGAGAGAACAACGAATTGAGCGTCTTCCTTTTGCTGCTGACTCATCTTACGCACTCTCCTTTGATCTGGGAAGGAGGTAAAAGAGACGCTTGGTTTACCTGCTGCTGCTGCTGCTGCTGCTGCTGCTGCTGCTGTTGTCTTGGGGGAGATCTCGCCGTCGCTAGCAACAGTTTCTTCATCATCTCCTTCCTGCTGCTGCTGCTGCTGACGCATTTTCGCTAAGAGAGAAGATGTCTTTCCAGGAAGCAGCAGAAGGCCTGTAACGACACCCATGGCTTGCTGCAGCAGCGGTGCTGCTGCTGCTGCACCTGCTGTGCCGCTGCCAGTTGTTGCTGCAGCACCAAAGCCAGGAAGCAAAGGAGCCGCAGCACCTGGTGCTGTTGCTGCTCCGCCAAGACCCCCTGCTGCTGCTCCTAGACCCGCACCAGTCCCTGCTGCTGCTGGTGCTGCTGCAGCAGGTACTGCAGCAGCAGCGGGTACAGCTGCAGCAGCGCCAGCAGGTGCTGCAGCCGCAGCACCTGCTGCAGTGGGTGCTGCTGCTGCTGCAGGGGCCCCTGCTGCTGCTGTTGCTGTGGGGCACCAAGGACACCAACCGCCGCAGCAAGCAGCAGTTCCTGCTGCAGTCGATCCTCCTACTGCGCCGCCAGTCATAGTGGCAGTAAGTACGGTAAGGCCGTGCGGCATTCTCTTTGTATTTGAAATTAGACAAAGTGGAAACAAAAAACAAATTAAATAATCAAAAAAAACAAAAAAATAAAAGAAAACAAGGGGTGTAGTGTACAGACAAACAAGCAAATGCAAGAGCAGCGGACGTCTACAACAACAGAGAGGAGTCGACAGCAGCACTATACAGTGGCTGGTTGCAGTGTATGCGCAGGTTAAAAGCTAAAATAAAGGCGATAAATAGAAGTTTCAAGATATTTTTACTCGAATATTCAAAAAAAAGAGAAAAAAGAACGAAGATTTAACAACTAAACAGGAAGAATGCTCAACCGCAGCCGTTGGCTGCCTCTACGGTGTACAGACACCTCAGCAGTTGGTCAGTCGTCTGCGCCGTGGAAGCGAAGAAGAAAATCAAAATAAATGGTTTTAATGCATCATTTTTAATTATTTTAAAAGTTAAATAGTTAAAATTTTATTATAATTCAGTTTCAATCTATCAAACCAACCCAAATAAGATCCTTATTTACACCATTAGCGTAGATGTGCGTACACCGCAGGAGCCGACCTGCAATATTCCAGTAGTTATTATACACTCCATCGCTTCTTAGGGCTTCTTTTACCCAATTTAAAAGGTATTTAATTGCATTATTATTTCAAAAAAACGTATAATATTACTTTATTGATATTTATATTAATATAGAATTCATTTTCTATTGTCCTTAGACCCTGGATCCATTAACACATAGTTTGCAAGAAATAGACAAACGCTACACCCCATATTCTCCCTCGCCTCAGCCTCCAAATAATTAATTAATTAATTAATCGTTTAAATTAATTAATTAATCAATTTAGTTTGAGATAAACTGCACATGAAGCCATTCACCCCCCACCATAACACATTCTATTATATCCAACTGTATTATATCTCTGGAAACACATAACATATATCTATACTGTTTATCTTATATACACTATAAAATATATATAATATATATAACATATATACTATTTTGTAAATAATACCCATAATTGCATTATTCCTATGTGCGGCAGGAGGGATAATAGCAGCGGCAGCAGAGAACAGCATCACCACAGCAGCAAACATGCAGCAGCAGCAAATATACGGCAGCAGATATGCAACAGCAGCAGCAGATATGCAGCAGCAGCAGACGCAAAAGCAGCAGCAGCAGAGGCACCACCAGAGGTATCAGCCATTTAGAAGCACAGCAGAAGCAGCAGCAGAATCACCAGAGAAAAAACAGCAACAGCAGCAGCAGAGACGCGATTGCAGCAGCAGCATCGGCAGGAAGCAGCAAGAGCAGCAGAAACAAAGCAGCAGCAGCAAGCCAACTTAGAAGGTAGCTGCTGTTGATAGCTTGCACAATCTTTTTAATTATTTTTTGTT